GATGCACAGGGAGTGGACAAATATTTCGCCACCGCGGGCAGAAAGCATGTGGCTTGTGGCCTTGGAGCCGGTCTTGCGGGGCATTTCCAGAAGTACTGAGCGTCCGTTCAGCAGAAAGTTGATCAGGCAGGAGCTGGGACGCGAGGTAACGTCCACGGGCGTCACGAGGAACTGGCCCAGGCAGGGTTGCAGGTCCGCCGAGCCGCAGCCACGCGGAGTGCACCACTTGAGGGTCACAGTCTCGTAGGTGGCGCCCTGCTTGATGCTCGTGGGCAGACTGAAGTCTGGGCCACAGGTGATCGAATGAGCCCGCCGGCTGTGCAGGATTTCCACATCGTAGTTGGCGCTGGAGTTGGCGTTCTGCTCTTCCTTCATGGGAATGTTGGTCACCGTGGTGCTGGCCAGATCGTAGTGGTTCAGAATGAGGTGCGTAAGCTTGTACGAGATGTCCGGGGCACTGACCGTGTGGATCTCGACGTCCAGCAGCGGTGAGATCTTGAGCAGACTGCGATTGGTCACCAAAGATTCGACGCCCAGCGGCACAATGTTGAGGATGACCAGGTGGCAGTGATCGATGGCCAGGCCCTTTTTGGCGGGCGGTGCTGCCAGGGCGTTTTGCTGCACAAGGACCGTGTTGAAGATGTCCTCCAGACTCTTCATGCTGGTGTTGTCCCGCGCCGAGGTGATGCATATAACGCGACCCTTATTGGGAATGCGTGGCAGATCCTCCTGACCACAATCAGCCATTGCCGCCAACTGCTCATCCGTGGGTTCGGCAAGCGCCTCGATGGCGGCTCGCAGGCCATGGATCACCGAATAGTCCGAGGATGTGGGAACGTTGCGGGACGGTACGCCTACCATTACCATGGCGTTCATCACGTGCGACATGTTCTGCGTGCTGGGACTCCAGGTGTTCACGATATGCGCCGCCGTATCGGAAACTATAAATCGCACGTGCTTCTTGCCCGGAAAGAGATCCCAGACCACGCGGCAGTACTCGATGGAGGACTCGCAGGCGCACGTCCACAGGCTCTTGCTGAACTGGGATCCACCTCCGGATCCTGCCGCATTTCCCGCGGCTCCTGGCCCTCCGCCGTCTCCCGAAGGCTTTCCCTTGAGGAAGTCCAACGAGATGTACTCCTCGCTGGCGATGCTGAAGTACCGCGTGTGGTCCAGCACGAAGATGGTCTTCTGGTTGCGCTCAAACATGGTGGGGTCGCCTGGGGAGCTAAAATCGCATGAAAATCAAACAAATGCCAAATCTTAATTGTTTACAGTCCTTGTTCACCATGAACAGCTGGTTTGCAGTGGTGAGTTCAGACCGGCGGAATTTTCTGGCAACGCCGGGGAAACTAGAGGTGAATTACCCAAAATATTTAAGCTCCATTCACACAAGTCTGAGTTTTAATTTAAAAAACGGTTTCTCATTTATGTATTAACATCCCTTTTTAAATTTGCAATAACAAATAAAATAAAATTTCATATTATTCTTAACACAACTTGGCGCTCTTCTGGCTCATATAAATCTTACGAAAATGTGGTCAAAATGTATTGATATATCGTAGGCATTATTATGAAAGATAAAAGAAGTATCACACAAAAACAATAAACAAAATGTATAAGTTTATTAACTAATTAAAATAACATTATTTACAACTAAAAGTCATTTCAAAAAGTTACATCTTTAGAAATTTGCCCATCCTCTTTTTATCCCATCTGGCAACGCTCATTAAAAATCACGTTGTTGGACGTTAAGCAAAAGCTGTCAAAATTTCGTAATATTTTCTAGATTGTTTTTTTGCCCTTAAACTCTTGAGTGAAAAGCGCGAAAAGCGCACGCCAAAGTAGCAGCACCATGTCGTGGCTTTTGGGCAGGAACCGCCAGCAGCCGCAGCCGGAGCAGTCCGGTGGCTTTGCGGACGGAGGAGGAGGTGCCGATCCGGATGGCAGGACGGCCGGCGAGAAGTCCGGGGACGCTCAACTGAGCCGGGCAGAGCGCAAGGCCATGGAGGCGTACCGCTTCGACTCCTCGGCCCTGGAACGTGCGGCGGATGCGGCCAAAACCCTGGAGCGATCAAGTAAGCGGAAAATTTCATCAGCCAGTTGCATAACCACCGACATGCGCCATGCTATCGCAGCGTGCGTGTGAGTCTGGGAAGTAGCTCCCCATATGACCCCCAATGTTAATCTCGTGCAGAACACGCCCGGGAGGCCCTCGAGCTGTCCAAGATGCAGGAGGCCACCCGGCAAACGGAGTACAACACCAAGGTCAAGGAGTACGAGGCCCATATCGAGCAGGCCAAGGTCGAGCAGAAGCGCATCGATCACGAGGAGCGCCGGAAGACCCTCATCGAGGAGACCAAGCAGCAGCAGCAGCGTGCCCAGTACCAGGACCAGTTGTCCCGGAAGCGATACGAGGATCAGCTGCAGCAGCAGCAGCGCGTCCAGGAGGACAATCTGCGCAAGCAGGAGGAGAGCGTCCAGCGCCAGGAAGCCATGCGCCGCCAGACCATTGAGCACGAGATCGAGATGAAGGAGAAGAACCGGCTCAAGCTCCTGGAGCACGAGCTGCGGGCCAAGGCACGCGTGGATCGCGAGAACCGCGACATTAACCTGGAGAAGATCCGTCTCAAGGCACAGGAGCATCGCACTACCGTGCTGGAGGGCATCAAGTGAGTGATTGCTTGGATTAAACTGGGTTATGTTGTTAATTCCCTTTCCTGACCCACAGAACCGCTGGAACCGTCATTGGCGCTGGCGCCGAGGCCATGCTCACCGACTGGGACAAGGTACTGACTGCCGCTGGAGGACTTTCGCTGCTCGCTCTGGGCGTGTACACGGCCAAGGGCGCCACCGGCGTGGTTTCCCGATATGTGGAGGCCCGTATCGGCAAACCTACGCTAGTTGGCGAAACTTCGCGATTCGCCTTCCTAGATGCCCTGAAGAACCCGTTGCATTACCTGAAAGGCTACGCGCCAAACCCGCCGATGCCCTGCAGGGCGTGGTGCTGAACCCGAAGCTGGAGGAGAGGCTACGTGACATTGCCATCGCGACGAAGAACACGCGTATCAATCGGGGAATGTACAGGAACGTCCTGATGCACGGTCCACCCGGAACGGGCAAGACCATGTTTGCCAAGAAGCTGGCCGAGCACTCTGGCATGGACTTCGCCATCATGACCGGTGGCGATGTGGCGCCCATGGGCAAGGAGGGCGTGACAGCCATACACAAGGTGTTTGACTGGTCGCACACCTCGCGTCGCGGTCTGCTGCTGTTCGTGGACGAGGCAGACGCCTTCTTGCGCAAGCGTTCCTCGGAGAAGATCTCGGAGGATCTGCGTTCCGCCCTGAACGCCTTCCTGTACCGCACCTCCGAGCAGAATCCCAAATTCATGCTCGTGCTGGCCTCCAACACTCCCGAGCAGTTCGATTATGCCATCAACGATCGTCTGGACGAGATGGTGGAGTTCACGCTGCCTGGTTTGGAGGAACGGGAGCGCTTGTTGCGCCTGTACTTCGATAAATATGTTCTGCAGCCTGCTGCTTCGGGAGCTAAGTAAGTACTTCATTTTTCATACCCTTTTTTACTTTATAGAACGATGATTTGATTATGATTTTAATATTCTTTTCAGGCGTTTCAAGCTGGACACTTTGACTACGGACAGACCTGTTCGAAGATGGCCGCTCTGTGCGAGGGCATGTCGGGTCGAGAAATCTCCAAGCTGGGTGTGTCCTGGCAGGCGGCTGTCTATGCCTCCGAGGATGGTCTGCTCACCGAGAAGATGGTGCTGGATAGGTGCTACTCCGCTGCTCAGCAGCACAAACAGAAGGTGGGTCTTGAAATGGGTATTCAACCTGGCTCTTAGTCTTAACTTAAAATCGTGTATCTCTTCCAGATGGCCTGGCTCTCGGATCAGGAGCGTGCCGATCACAAATCCATTACGGGCGCTGCTGCTCCACCCCTCACCCTTACTGCCAATAAACTGTGAGGAGCGGAGGCGTAGCTGATGTCGAAGTAGATGATGCAACCTGCATTAAAACTTGTTTAGTTTTCTAATCATTTAACTTTAAGTTGGTAACGCACAGGGCTTTATCTTACTACCGGATACCAAACAGCAGCCGAGACACCGAATAAGTGCATATCGGTTACCTGTATGCATTTACACAGCCTGTACAAAATCTCTGGCGGAAGCACGTGTTCGTCTATAGATGCAATTAAGTTTGACCCACTGATAATTGTATTATAAGCTTGCATTAACTGTCTCAATAGTGTGTACAATAAGAGGTATATATTTTAACTGCTGTTGTTGCATTTCGTATGTTAAAGCTTTGGACGTAGACTGTAAATTGAAACGCGTCGCTCCAGCACTGTGAGAGATTTATATTAAACTTCTCGCTGGCGCGGCACCAATTTGACTTGTCCGCAGTGTTTTCCTATATATGAGTATGAAGTAAATATATATAGACTACTTGTTAAAAATAGCAGTTTTAATTTTTCTCAGTCTCTATCAAAGTTGGTTTTCAATTTTTGGACAATATAAAAATTAAATCTATCAGACTGGCTAAAACTAAACCGTTTATTGTAGATCCCATTTAAAAAAAAAACTACTTAAAATTTGAAATTTTATGTTATTTTTAAACGGTCGTTTAAGACAAAAAACGAAAGCTTATTATTTTCCAGAACAATCTCCTAAACAACAATTCATATTTAAAAAAGGCCATTAAGCTCAATTTCTATTGAATATAATATATATATGTAGTTAAGATCCAGACATAGAATAAGAGTATTTAAAGATTACTCATATTCGTTCCGAAATTTACAATCGCCTTGTGTTATTGGAGGTCGTAGATACTACATATACTCCAATTATTTAAGACTTTACTCTGGGGTTTTATTTTAAATTTTTTTAACGGACGATTTAAAATTTGTAAAAGTAACAGATTTAGTCGAAAATCCCTAAAAAATACCTCTTTAGTGAGAGACACACGCTGTCGCCGCACCGGGGCGAATGGCAAAACGGGCCGAGCAAGAAAATGGCGTAGAAGTCGAAGAAAGGAAAATTCATTTCGTTTGAGGAAAATATCGGAAAAACCAAGGAAAACTTCGTTGAGATTATAAATGTTTGACTGAGCTGTGAGCAGAGATGTTTCCGGGTGGAAATGGCAACGCTGACTTGGGCTACAACAAGCACGCCCACGTCCACGGACATGGACAACATGGCCATGGGCACAACCATAATCACAACCAAACTCAGTTCCTGGCGCAGCCCCCACCACCGCCCACCCACTTTTCCCTGCCTCCCGGCGGAGGTCCGGCCATGATAACGCCCCTGGTGGCCACTGGTCTTCCCCTAGCCATGCAAGGGGCGCCGGCATCGATTGGGCGCACTCGCCCAACAATGGATCCACATGCGAGACGCATCCCCGGTCGGCATGCCCCTGGCCCCACCACCGCCTATTATTGGCAATGTGCGGGAGTACCATCAGCAGGCGATGGCGATGCCGGTGCCCAGTGTGGTTAGGGCGGGATTTCCCCTACTCGAGGAGCAGGCGAGGCCGACATGGATATGGACGACGAGAATGAGCGGGGTCACGGCGCCGAGACGCCTCCACCGCCGGCTCCAGTGGTTACGCAATCCCAATGGCTGGCGGCCACGAAACGCCAGGCCAGGCCATTGACGCCTCTGGCGGAACGGGTGAGTGGATGAGATGGCCAAATATAACCAGGTCCATACTGACTTCCGTCTCCCTTCTCCTTTTCAGCTGTCACGCTGGGCAAGCAGCCATGGAACAGCTGGCAAACGCAATCCGGCAAAACCACGGGCAATCCCACAGCGCATATTCCCTCGCTGCTCAAACTCAACGTCAGCAATCCCAATGAGCCGCAGCAACAGCTGCAGATGCAGTTGCAGGCACAGCAGCAACAAACGCAACAGCCAACGCATCCACAAGCACATCAGCCACATCCACATCATCTAGCACCACCACATGCACACCAACCGCCACAGCAACAGCAGGAAAGCGGAAGTGGCAGTGCCAGCAGGAGATGATGCCAACAAACGCAAAATGTTGCCAGCTTGGATAAGGTGAGTGTTCCATGGAGAGAATATGTCCTTATCTTATAAAAACATGCTTGTTTTGGAACCCCATTAAAAACATTTTATATGAAACATTATCATTTGAAGATGATGATGATGATTCAAAAACCCCAACTCAAAGATTTTTTCCAGGATAAAAGTACTTAGTTTTGATGAGTTTTCGAAATATTTAACAAAAAAATTCAAAATCCATATAATTTTTTTAGAAATTTGTAATTTTTAGGCAATAAGATACTTGATTGATATTAAACTTGTACCACCTTTTCAGAGAGGGCCTGGAGAAAATGGAGCGCGAAAAGCAGCGGCAGCTAGAGCGCCAGCAGTCCTCCATTGGCACCACAGACGATGAGGTCAACCATGTTAAGCAAGTATCAAGCAAAACACTAACAACACCTGTTAATCTATTGAACATCGCGAACGTGGTAAGTAAGGTCAGGGAGTGTAGGGTTAACTGACTCTCAATACGGACCGAAAAGTGCCTAAAGTACAGAGCACATCTCACCCCAATTGGTTGCACACGAAACGGGACTGAACTTAACTAAAACTTAAACTGATGTTTCGTCATCAAAGAACACAAACTGAAAACGATACGGACTGTAGAACAGACTGCAGATAGAAGTGCAGGCTGTCGAATTAAACATACCCTTGAAATTCAGGCTAGCGACAGCGAAGATTCCATTGGCTTGCCTGGGGAGGCGCGTGGAGAACTGGAGGATCAGCAGATAGGTAATGAATTGATAAGTAAAGCCGGCGATATCAGCAGCAGTGAGGAGCAGGAGGAGGAGGAGGAGCAGCGAGGAACCAACGACACAGGCAATCGGGAGGCGGCAGAGCAAGTGGAAGCGGCTACCGAGAACGATGTCAATGGTAAAAACTACGAAGAAAGACTGGCGGATCTGGTAGGCATCACCATTTGACCCGGATGTTTGCTCAGCCAGGCGATGAAATCGAGTGAGTCTCAGAGGCGAAGGAACTGCGGAATTCCGGCGACATATTCCCTTTTGGCTGCTCTGCAGTTCGTTCACTCTTCACTAGAGTTTCATTCCCTGGCCACCGGCGGCACATCCAAAAACCTCATATATGTCTTGTTGCAAACAATCTATGAACACCCAAATAAAACCCATCTGTAGATGCTTGTGGTGCGTCGGACACTAACCGAAATCCTGCTGGAAACCACAAACGAAGAGATTGCAGCCATTGCATCCGAGACCCTGAAAGCACACCGTGCGAAAGGTACTTATGCATTACATTTAAGTTCACCCCAAACCGATCTCTTCCAGCGATCGCGCGTGTGTGTGTGTGTAAGTAGTTATACCATATAGATCGTAAGACGGCGCGGATATATCGCGGACTAATGCTATCCGATCTTTGCTTGGATGACCCGATGTTTCGGCCAAGCGATTGCAGCCGAGTTTTGTTCGGCGAGCGCGATATCACCTCTTTTAATCCTATGTCTTTGCTAATCTTTAAATCCCAAATAATATGATATGAAACACCACACAAAAACCAATGAAATCACTTGCTGAATTTTTTAATCGTTATATTATATAATATATACCTATATATATATGTATGTATGTGTAAATCAAAAGCGTCATCAGCCCAAGTGATTCGCAAAAGCGCCTTGTCCTCCATTACCGGCAACCTGGGTAAGTAACCAAATTTCAGTTTAGCTCGTAAGTTTCTTTTGCACTCTTTTTGTTTAGAGGTAGTCTGAGTTATGCTTGGTCGTCCCAACTTTCTATACCCCCGACTCCTAATAAGAAAAAAAACAAAAAAAAACAGAAAAAACCAACAATTGGATTATACCCTGGCCAAGTTCTAACTTCCTATGCTTGTAACTTTGAACCGTGGCCAAACCACTTTCGACACCCTTGGCGCAGTTTGATCCTTCTAGCTCGCTTCTCCGCCTTTTCTCTCTCCCTTCCCAACCCCTTTCCGTAAAATCTTCTAAAGAAATGTCAAAATCTATTTGAAACATATAAAAACTGCGCCCAATCTTCATGAAGCCTGGTAGCAACAATTAGCACTTGACTGATTTGAATTATAGGTTTAGCTGCCTATGGCGATTCTTCCAGCGAAAGCGAAGAGGATGAGGACGACGAGGATGGCGAGCGCCAGGCGGATGCAGCAAAGGATGGCGACAAAAGCGTGCATCTAAGCGCGGAGGAGTTGAAGGTGGGTTGACAATAAAAGTATGATGATATGATATATGGTATTAAAGTATCTTGTATCTTTTTTAGGCTCGCATACGGCGCAGCAAACGATCCTTTGAGAGAGTCATTGACGACATTGAGGATCGAGTGGCCCAGCAAGAGCTGCGTGATGAGCAAACGCTGCAGCGACATCGCAAGCGGGAGCTGGAGCGCTCTGACCCCGATGCTAGTGAGCATCGTCGACCGCTGGCCAAACCCGAACCGCCCGGCGAGTTGGCCAGTCAACCAAGCCACGAAAAGCTGCAGCAGTTTAATGGTACCAGAGCCGCATTTGTTTCCTAAAACCACATCTAAATGTAAATCATAATCCTCAGGCAAAAGGCCCAGTCGCAAGGAGAGGACCACCCGCTTCAGCGACAACAAGGATGGTAAGCAGTCGCAGAGCTACGTCCAACAAGTGGTGGCCGCCGCCGCGGTGGCACCACTTAGCTCACTGGGCAGTACCAGCTCTCAGAAGCTAAAGCCCGTTCCGAATCCGGCCACCAATCTGCTACAGATGCCCGAGTCGGTGGCCACCATGCTGAGTGCGGCGGACAAGGCGCTGCACAAGGCCAACAAGACGTCGCGCAAGTCCAAGAGCAAGCGACGACACTCGTCCACCTCGTCCTCCTCCAGCAGCAGTAGTGGGAGCAGCTCGAGCAGCGACAGCGACGACAGCAGCAGCAGCAGCTCCAGCGCATCGAAGCGTCCAGCAGTCGCGCAAGCGAGCCAGCCGGCATGGACACCGCAGCCACGGCAGCAGCAGTCGAAGCAGCAAATATGAGCGACGAGATCGCGACAGGGAAAGGGAGCGGGCCGGGACCGGGATCGGGGACATCGCCAGCATCGAGTACTTCAGTGGTGGCAGCAGTAGTGGAGGCCATCGCCAGAGGTCGTCGAGGCGACACCGGGACTCGAGCCACTCTGGCGGAGATGAGCGCCGCAGCAGCAGCTACAAACGCTCCTCGCGGCCGAGCAGCAGTCGGAGCCACGAGCACGGCAGCAGCAGCAGCGGACGGAAGCGACACGCACGAGATCCCGCTCCAAGTCACGCAGCACCCACCACTCCAGCTCCCACGCACACTCCTCCACTTCTTCCGCGTCGCATCCGCGCAAGCGCCACTAAGATAACGTCTACCGCTAATTGTTATATTGTATAATTATATTTTTTCTTCTGTTTTCATAAACAGTTTTAATCCAGCATTAATCGATTTCCTAAGATTTTTGCTTTCACTTTTTTTATACCGTTATGTAAGGGTATACTAGATTCGTCGAAAGTAAACAGCAGAAGAACGTTTCGAATAAAGTATACATATCTTGATCAGATCATAGCCGAGTCGATCTAGCATGTCGTCTGTCGTCTGTCCGATGACGCTGAGATTTGGAACTATGGGAGCTATTGAATTTGCGTGCAGATTCTAGCTTTGTTTGTTTCTACGACTTGGTTCTACAGTTTTCATGCTAGATAGAAATTTTAACTGTGTAAGGTTTTCATACCTATCGATTGAAAAAAAAGTTTGCCCACTTTAGCCAGCTTGAACATTTTCTAGTAATTTTCTGTGGGGTATTATCTTGGCCAGATAACCCAAATTATGATAGTTTTTATTGTTTTGCTTATATTTTAGCTGAGTCTATTGTATCGATTCCTATAGCTTTTTTTTTATTTATTTGGCAGAATCCAAATTATGAAGTTTTTAAAGTATTTCCTAGTTATATCTTCAAGCAAGCAAAATAAATAAAACTTTTTTTAATTGTAAAATAAATTATTTATTTCTCATAATGCTAAAACCATTTGTTGCTAACTTAAGACTGGGTAATACTATGACATTAATCTAGAATATTCAATCAAAACATTCTTATCAGTCTCAAAACTTAAACTGAGAATTAACCCATTGATGAACAACAACTAGTATTTTTGGCTTTAGTCGACCTCCTCGACGTGGGTCCCGAGTAGCCGCCGAATCCTCCGGCCTGCTGGCCGCAGTTGGCTCCTGGACCAGCTGCTCCCGCTCCCTGCTGGTGCATTTTGGTCATAATGGGAGAGCAGTGGCGGGTGAGCTCCTCCAGCTTGTGGTCGAACTCCTCCTTCTCGGCAGTGGTGTTGTTGTCCAGCCACCGAATTGTGTCGTTGCACTTATCCAGAACGGAGGTCTTGTCGGCTTCTTCCAGTTTGCCTGCGGGAGCCTGTTCCACGGACTGTTTCACATTGAAGACGTAGCTCTCCAGTGCATTTCTAGAGGCTATGCGCTGGCGGTGCTTCTCGTCCTCGTCGGCGTACTTCTCGGCCTCGTTCACCATGCGGTCAATCTCGGCCTGCGAGAGGCGTCCCTTGTCGTTCTTGATCGTGATGTTCTTGGCCTTGCCCGTGCTCATCTCCTTGGCGGTGACGTTCAGGATTCCGTTGGCGTCCAAGTCGAAGGTGACCTCTATCTGGGGTACACCTCTTGGCGCAGGAGGAATTCCGGACAGGTCGAAGGTGCCCAGTGCGTTGTTGTCCTTGGTCATCGCACGTTCGCCCTCATACACCTGGATGGAGACTCCGGGCTGGTTGTCCGAGTACGTGGAGAACGTCTTGGTCTGCTTGCACGGGATGCGGCAGTTGCGCTCTATCAGCTTGGTCATCACCCCGCCTGCGGTTTCATTCCGAGTGAAAGAGGGGCCACGTCCACCAGCAGCACGTCCTGGATTTTGCCGCTCTGGTCTCCGCTGAGGATTGCGGCCTGGACCGCCGCTCCGTAGGCCACCGCCTCGTCAGGGTTGATGGATAGGTTCAGGCTCTTGCCGTGGAAGAACTGCTGCAGCAGGCTCTGCACCTTGGGAATCCGGGTGGATCCGCCAACGAGCACGATGTCGTGGATCTGGCCCTTGTCCATCCTGGCGTCCGGTGAGGGCCTTCTCCACGGGCTGCAGGGTGTTGCGGAAGAGGTCTGCGCACAGTTCCTCGAACCTGGCGCGGCTCACCTTGGTGTAGAAGTCGTGTCCTTCGAACAGTGCATCGATCTCGATGGTGGCCTCGGTGCTGGAAGAGAGCGTCCGCTTAGCCCGCTCGGCAGCAGTCCTGAGGCGTCGCAGAGCGCGGGGGTTGGAGCGCAGGTCCTTCTTGAACTTGCGTTTGAACTCATCCGCCAGGTGGGTTACCAGGCGATTGTCGAAGTCCTCGCCGCCCAGGTGGGTGTCTCCGGCGGTGGAGCGCACCTCGAAAAGCGATCCCTCGTCGATGGTCAGGATGGAGACGTCGAAGGTGCCGCCTCCGAGATCGAAGATGAGCACGTTGCGCTCTCCCTTGAGATTCTTGTCCAGTCCGTAGGCCAGAGCCGCCGCCGTGGGCTCGTTGATGATGCGGAGCACGTTCAGGCCGGCAATGTGACCAGCATCCTTGGTGGCCTGGCGCTGGGAGTCGTTGAAGTAGGCGGGCACCGTGATGACCGCGTCCGTGACGCTCTCGCCCAGATACGCCTCCGCCGTCTCCTTCATCTTGGTCAGCACCATCGAGCTGATCTCCTCGGGGGCGAACCGCTTGGCCTCGCCCTTGAACTCCACCCCGATCTTGGGCTTACCGCCGTCGCTGACCACCTTGAAGGGCCAGTGCTTCATGTCCTCCGCGATCTTGGGGTCGTCATACTTGCGTCCGATGAGGCGCTTGGCGTCGAAGACTGTGTTCCTGGGGTTCATGGCCACCTGGTTCTTGGCGGCATCGCCGATGAGGCGCTCAGAGTCTGTGAAGGCCACGTAGGACGGGGTGGTGCGGTTGCCCTGGTCGTTGGCGATGATCTCCACCTTGCCATGTTGGTAGACACCGACGCAGGAGTACGTGGTGCCCAGATCGATTCCAATAGCTGGCATGTTGTGTGTTTGTGGTTGCTCCTTACTTGGAAGTGGATATTTGTGTGCTTTCAGCTTTCCTTCTTGTCTTAGTGATATATTCTTGATTGTAGGGTTGGTAGTATTTTACTTAAATATTATTAGCTTGCACTTTGTTGCAGATTATTAGCTTGTTCAGCTGCGCTTGTTTTGTTTGCTTAGCTTTTGCTTAGCGATGTTTTCAGTTGCTTGTTTGAATTGATATGAGGCTAAGAGAGCCGAGCGGCTCTATTTATACTCAGGCGCTCTTTTCGCGAACATTCGATACCTACTCTCTCGAAACGCCGAGAAAGGTTCGCCTTTGTTGGTGCGCCTGAGCGAGATGGCAGATAGCAGAGTCGAAAAAAAAAGAGAGTGTTTGTAACGGTTGTTTCGAAATTTCTCGACTTTTCTCAGGGGCACGGCAAACAAAAAAAACCTACCTCAACAAATGGTTTTCTTTTGAAAGTTCTGGAAAATTCGAACCGCTTTTCTATTTGTTTATATAGAAGACAGCGTACTTTTTATAAGGAAATTTAAATATAGCGCCTTGCTTTATTTAACTTGAAAGCCTCCCACTAGACAATTCAATGGTTTGCAACATTTCATTCATGGCAACGCATTCATTGCACTCCCACAAAACCTTAATTACAGATTTTGTTTGAAATGGTCACTTCCCAAATGATTGTATCTGTTTCGCCTACAGTTTTAAAGTTCAAGCTAAAACAACAATTTTAATGCATTTAATTAAAACCAAATGTAAACCCAATTCTACGCTCACAATTTCCAATATTCTACTACGCCAAAAATGTTGTATAAATAAAATGAAAGTTGAAATGCTATTTGTGGATGCCATTTAACTGATGGAAAAAAAAGCTTTTATTTTATTGAAATATTTCTTACTTAAAAATAGTAAAATACTTATTATTATTTGCTTTTAAACGTCAATCAAAGCATGTTCATATTTACATACATATGTATGTTTAAATTAGAAAAAACAGTTCTGTAAACAGTTTGAAAAAAGAAAACTAGAATAGAAGCAAACTACAAAAAGACAATGTTTTATTAACCATTTAGATTAGATGAATTAAAATGTAACTAAAATAGTGCTAAATTTGACCAAGTGCAGCTATTGGACATTCAGTTCATTCAGTTTTTACAAAAAACAAGAATAATTTCGACGTAGTTTATGTTTTAATCGAAAATAATAGTGGTTAAGTTAGTATCTTAAAGACACTTTTAGGCGAACATTTGAGACCAAAACATGTATTGAAGTTTTGTGGGCATGTTAATCGCAAAGATGATTAAGCCAAATAGGAAGCTATGAATGAAATCTTAAGAGCCAATGAACTATCTAGTGCGAGACTTCTAAGTAAAATGAAGCTAGTCGCTGTATTTAAACTCGCTTATAAATAATGCGCTGTCTTTTATATAAATAAATAAAAAGGACGGACGAATTTTCCAGAACCCGCAAACGAAAATCATTTGTTGAGGTAGGTTTTTTTTGTTTGCCGTGCCCCTGAGAAAAGTCGAGAAATTTCGAAACAACCGTTACAAACACTCTCTTTTTTTTTCGACTCTGCTATCTGCCATCTCGCTCAGGCGCACCAACAAAGGCGAACCTTTCTCGGCGTTTCGAGAGAGTAGGTATCGAATGTTCGCGAAAAGAGCGCCTGAGTATAAATAGAGCCGCTCGGCTCTCTTAGCCTCATATCAATTCAAACAAGCAACTGAAAACATCGCTAAGCAAAAGCTAAGCAAACAAAACAAGCGCAGCTGAACAAGCTAATAATCTGCAACAAAGTGCAAGCTAATAATATTTAAGTAATATAACTACCAACCCTACAATCAAGATATATCACTAAAGACAAGAAGGAAAGCTGAAAGACACAAATATCCACTTCCAGTAAGGAGCAACCACAAACACACAACATGCCAGCTATTGGAATCGATCTGGGCACCACGTACTCCTGCGTCGGTGTCTACCAACATGGCAAGGTGGAGATCATCGCCAACGACCAGGGCAACCGCACCACCCCGTCCTACGTGGCCTTCACAGACTCTGAGCGCCTCATCGGCGATGCCGCCAAGAACCAGGTGGCCATGAACCCCAGGAACACAGTCTTCGACGCCAAGCGCCTCATCGGACGCAAGTATGACGACCCCAAGATCGCGGAGGACATGAAGCACTGGCCCTTCAAGGTGGTCAGCGACGGCGGTAAGCCCAAGATCGGGGTGGAGTTCAAGGGCGAGGCCAAGCGGTTCGCCCCCGAGGAGATCAGCTCGATGGTGCTGACCAAGATGAAGGAGACGGCGGAGGCGTATCTGGGCGAGAGCGTCACGGACGCGGTCATCACGGTGCCCGCCTACTTCAACGACTCCCAGCGCCAGGCCACCAAGGATGCTGGTCACATTGCCGGCCTGAACGTGCTCCGCATCATCAACGAGCCCACGGCGGCGGCTCTGGCTACGGACTGGACAAGAATCTCAAGGGAGAGCGCAACGTGCTCATCTTCGATCTCGGAGGCGGCACCTTCGACGTCTCCATCCTGACCATCGACGAGGGATCGCTGTTCGAGGTCGCTCCACCGCCGGAGACACCCACCTGGGGGCGAGGACTTCGACAACCGGCTGGTAACCCACCTGGCGGATGAGTTCAAACGCAAGTACAAGAAGGACCTGCGCTCCAACCCCCGCGCTCTGCGACGCCTCAGGACTGCTGCCGAGCGGGCTAAGCGGACGCTCTCTTCCAGCACTGAGGCCACCATCGAGATCGATGCACTGTTCGAAGGACACGACTTCTACACCAAGGTGAGCCGCGCCAGGTTCGAGGAGCTATGCGCAGACCTCTTCCGCAACACCCTGCAGCCCGTGGAGAAGGCCCTCACCGACGCCAGGATGGACAAGGGCCAGATCCACGACATCGTGCTCGTTGGCGGATCCACCCGGATTCCAAAGGTGCAGAGCCTGCTGCAGCAGTTCTTCCACGGCAAGAGTCTCAACCTCTCCATCAACCCTGACGAGGCGGTGCCTACGGAGCGGCGGTCCAGGCCGCAATCCTCAGCGGAGACCAGAGCGGCAAGATCCAGGACGTGCTGCTGGTGGACGTGGCCCCTTTCGCTCGGAATCGAGACCGCTGGCGGGGTGATGACCAAGCTGATCGAGCGCAACTGTCGCATCCCGTGCAAGCAGACCAAGACATTCTCAACGTACTCTGACAACCAGCCCGGAGTATCCATCCAGGTGTACGAGGGTGAACGAGCGATGACCAAGGACAACAACGCACTGGGCACCTTTGATCTGTCTGGCATTCCTCCTGCGCCAAGAGGTGTACCTCAGATAGAGGTCACCTTCGACTTGGACGCCAACGGAATCCTGAACGTCACCGCCAAGGAGATGAGCACGGGCAAGGCCAAGAACATCACGATCAAGAACGACAAGGGACGCCTCTCGCAGGCCGAGATTGACCGCATGGTGAACGAGGCCGAGAAGTACGCCGACGAGGACGAGAAGCACCGCCAGCGCATAGCCTCTAGAAATGCACTGGAGAGCTACGTCTTCAATGTGAAACAGTCCGTGGAACAGGCTCCCGCAGGCAAACTGGAAGAAGCCGACAAGACCTCCGTTCTGGATAAGTGCAACGACACAATTCGGTGGCTGGACAACAACACCACTGCCGAGAAGGAGGAGTTCGACCACAAGCTGGAGGAGCTCACCCGCCACTGCTCTCCCATTATGACCAAATGCACCAGCAGGGAGCGGGAGCAGCTGGTCCAGGAGCCAACTGCGGCCAGCAGGCCGGAGGATTCGGCGGCTACTCGGGACCCACGGTCGAGGAGGTGACTAAAGCCAAAAATACTAGTTGTTCATCAATGGGCTAATTCTCAGTTTATTTTAAGTTTTTGAGACTGATAAGAATATTTTGTTTGGATATTCTAGATAAATGCCATAGTATTACCCAATCACCCCAGTCTTAAGTTAGCAACAAAGGTTTTAGCATTACGACAAATAAATAATTTAGTTAAAGAAAATTAATAACATGTATTTTATTTCGTACATAATCCACTTTCCCCAGGTTTAATGGAACTATGCAAATTTCGGAAATACCACCAAAATTATTCTCTTTGTCTGAGATATTGAAGGTAAAATGGACCTCTCTCATTAAGAGGTTGTATTATTTATTTTATGTACACATTTTTATCAAAGCCCATTTTAATTAGAATTCTCAAAAAAAAAAGTGTATTATAGTTATGTTAATAATTTCTGGAATATACTGAAGATATATACTGAACTAAAAAAAGTTAAAAACTTAGGTAAAATTAAAAAAAAAATTAAACCTTTAAAGGGTGTTACACTCTAGGTCATTATTGTATAAATAAATACATTTTATACACTTAAGAGCAAAGTTAAATGAGCTTCGAGAGCTTGGTTTCTTAGTATATGTTTCCTATTGAGCTTCTAGCTTTTTCTGCTTTTCCCCAAAGGGGTCGGCGTAGACCCTCCCAATTTCGTAATGGCTCATTTTATTGCGATGGATAGTCAGTAGGGCTCCGCTCTTGAAGCTCTGTTCGCAAACGCCGCATCTGTAGGCCATGACAGGCAACTCCGGGCTGGGAAGCACTGCCTCTGGCTGCTGCTCTTTCTCGCCGGGAAGTCGTTTCAGGCGCATGCGCTCAATGTCCTCCGCTCGTCGCTTGTTGACCCTTGCGTTCACATAGGGATCCGCAGAAAGGTCGCCCTCGGCTCCCATGCCCGAAATAACCGCCTCCTGATGACCTTTTCGGTTACGGTGGGTATTCAGATGCGAACCGCAGACAAAGCTCTCCCCGCACACTCCACACTGATACGGTCGCTCGCCAGTGTGCCGCCGCTTATGGATCTTCAGGTCGTTGGATTGCACAAAGCTCTTGCTGCACATGTCGCAGGAGTAGGGCCGCTGGCCCGTATGCAGTCGCATGTGCCGCGCCAGCTTGTTTTGCGAAATAAACTTCTTGAAGCAGATCTTGCACTCGCTGGGACGCTCTCCGGTGTGTTGACGCATGTGCAGACTTAAATCCTGACTGCGCGGGAATGCCTTCTCGCACTGGCTGCATTTGTAGGGTTGTCGCCGGTATGTCGGCGAATGTGGATGGTAAGGGTGGTCACGGGAAAGCTTAAGCCACAATATGGACAATCTCGCCGCTTGGTGATACGCTTGCGGGCTGAGTTATCCGGCGTTTCGTCCGTTTCCAAGGCCGCTGCGTGCGGATGGAATGCCTGCATGTGACGTCGTAGGGTGTCCTGGCGCTTGAATGACCGCGGACAGTGCTTACAGGTCAGCAGACCAGTGCCGCTGCTCTCGTTGGCCAGATTCAAAGCGGCTACGTCCGCCGTCAGCTGGTGGGCGTGCGAAAAATGCCGGGACAGGGATTCGCTCTTGGCAAAGACTCGCGGACAGACGGCGCACTTGTAAATGAAGTTGTCCGAGTGGGTAAGACGGCTGCCCAGCTGGGAAGGTCGCGGATGGGATAGTTCTTTGATTTCTGGCTCCTCTGGCGATAAATGCAGCTGAGCAGAATCCTCTATATCCTCTTCTCGATCCTCGTCGGCGTAAAAAGCCTCACCTTCCGCCTCTAAATTGAATACTGCAGAAGTGTCCTGGTCTCCCAACTCCTCGAGTTCCACCTGGTCCTCTTCGTAAGAGGCAGGCAGGAATTCTTCCATTTTAACTACATTCTCCTGGCCAATCAGTTCCACTACCTCCACATGGGCTTCCTCCTGCTTGGCAGTCACCTCCTGCTGCAGGTGAAGGTTTTGCAAAGTCTCCTGAGCGCTCTCCACCTCCAGGATGAACTCATATGTACTGATCAGGCGGCGTGTGCAATTTTGGCACAGCTGCATGGGCAGATTCGGATCCGTCCATGGTACTAATATAAGAACAATAATAATATTGGAACCAATGACGATATTGACATAGATCATACCTTAATTCTGGAGACGGATTCCAAGAGCTGCCAGAGCTCCATGTTCAGGTCGTTGTACTCGATCTCATCGTGGAGGCATAGATTGGTATCGTGGGTCTCCAGGCAGACGCGGCACGTCTGGGAGTTTATGTTAATGTGAATCTCCGTAGTCTCCATAATTTTTATTCATATCGTTAAACAAATAAAATTCAGCAAAAATTTGTTTATAACAGCTGGTTATTAGAGATGGAAGTTAAATCACATCTGTTCCGGCTCACAGTCACATTTCGTTTATGCGAGGGATATTTAAAAAAATAATATTTAAACTATTAATTTTGAATTTGAACAAATAATTGTAATTATAATTATTTATTTAGTAGCAAATATAAAGGGCTTATAACTTAGGTCAAGATTTCGAATGTGAATAAATATTTAAATATTATAGTCCAGGTTTAAAACCCCAAACATCAAATTCCGAATATTTACTGAGAGTATTGCTTCAAAAATGAATTTCTAAATAATTACAATACTGTGACTGCTGTGCAACACTAGAAAGTCACGAGGTCCATCCACTAGCCGATACTATCGCACTTTGCCATTAACCCGATCACGCATACGCCCGCTTCACAATTCAAACGAACGGCATTTTATTTTCACAGGACCCGGGAATCGTGATTGTTTTACCCAATAGCTTTATTTTACCATTGTTTTTTGACCAAAATTCCGATCTGTTAGTTGTCCAAAGCTTGTGTCGTCATGTCCCATCCGTCCGACCATGTGCTGCGTCCCAAGGAAAATGCTCCACCCAGAAAGCCGGAAATACCAGCCGCTCTTCTCAACATGCAGAAGAAAAACTTGCTGTTGGGAAAGAAGGTGAGTGAAGATCTCTCTAGAAACTACCTGAAATCCCTACAACCCCTACCTTAAAACAGCCCGCCAGTGAAAACGTGGCACCAGCCGCCAAACCCTTACCAGGATCTTCTGGCGCTGTGATCAGGAATGCCATGACTGCCATGCGACCGCCGCCCACTAAACCAGGTCTAGGAGCCTCCAATTCCGTTGTACCCGCCGTTGGAAGCAAGTTCCAGAAGCCACTGTTACCGCCCGTGAAGAAGACCACCTCCGAGTTTGTGGCTCCCGCTCCAGTGGCACCTATCAAGAAGCCGGAAATCGTACCCAAACAGAAGTCCCCTGCCTCAGGCGCAGAATCCTCTACAGAATCTGGTGCTGCACCGTCCAGCAGCTCTGGCAGCACCACTGACAAAGATAAACCCAAGTCTGGTGGGTACTACATATATCCATTCAAATCACCAACTCCACTGTAATCTCCTGCAGATGCCCAGCCGCAGAAACCCAAGAAAACCTGGGAGCTCAACAACTTTGACATTGGCCGTCTGCTGGGACGCGGCAAGTTTGGCAACGTTTACTTGGCGCGCGAAAAGGAATCCCAGTTCGTGGTGGCCCTCAAAGTGCTGTTCAAGCGCCAGATTGGCGAGTCCAATGTAGAACACCAGGTGCGTCGTGAGATCGAGATACAGTCGCACCTGCGCCATCCACATATCCTCCGTTTGTACGCCTATTTTCACGACGATGTACGCATATATCTAATCTTGGAGTATGCCCCACAAGGAACGCTATTCAATGCTCTGCAGGCACAGCCGCTGAAGCGGTTCGATGAGCGCCAGTCGGCCACCTACATTCAGGCACTGTGCTCCGCACTGCTTTATCTACACGAGCGGGACATCATCCACAGGGATATCAAGCCGGAGAACTTGCTGCTTGGTCACAAGGGAGTCTTGAAGATCGCCGACTTCGGCTGGTCCGTGCACGAACCCAATTCTATGCGCATGACGCTGTGCGGCACGGTGGATTACCTGCCGCCGGAGATGGTCCAGGGCAAGCCGCACACCAAAAACGTGGATCTCTGGAGCCTGGGTGTGCTCTGTTTCGAGCTGTTGGTTGGCCACGCTCCCTTCTACTCGAAGGTCTACGACGAGACTTACAAGAAGATCCTCAAGGTTGACTACAAGCTGCCGGAGCACATCTCAAAGGCAGCCGCTCACCTCATTTCTAAGCTGCTGGTCCTAAATCCGCAGCACCGCCTGCCGCTGGATCAGGTTATGGTGCACCCATGGATCCTGGCGCACACGCAGTGAACCCATCCATATTTCATTTTGAGTTATTTCCTTTTAATTTACAGTTTTAGTTAAGACTCGCCGCGTAATTTAATTATGGCATCTTAAATTTTCATTTAGCCCGATTCGAGAAATTAACATTTATGAATTAAGTTTATTATTATCAATAAAGTTTGTGTGTGTTTTTTCGAATGCTAGGCGAGTGTGTCGGTGTGTACAATCCTATCTTATGTGGCTATACCTAATCTCTAGCGAAATGAGTTGACGGAATTCAAATGCGAATGCAAAATCTTGTGGCAGCGACAAAAACACAGGCAGCATTGCCCAAATGCAGTGAAGCGAGTTATTTTTATCACAGAAAACCAAGTACAAGGAAATATTGTACGCAGATGGAAAGAGCAAGAGTATATTTTTGAGATTGGCGAAATTACGAATGAAATGGTTTAGGATTTAGCAACGGAAACAAGTTTTGCCACTTTTGGACCAATATTTTGCAAAGCTGAACCAAACCAGTCTTAACTTTAAATCAATTGCAGTTCATACAATGAACTGGCGCTGCCTTTAATCTCATTTCCATATAAGAGTATTGTATTTCTGCGAGTTTCATGTTTTCTTTTTCATTTGCTATTAACGAAATGATGGTAGTCATTACGTTTAAATTTACTTACAAACTAGGTAGCTTAGGGCGTGCTCAATCCAGGATAGATTTCGATTTATAATCTCCAATTATTATACAAATTCATTGATTGGTTCGCTGAATTCTAAATCATCTTTCAGATCCTAAAATCTATGGATTTCTGAGCACGGCTTTAATATAAAGGGGTTTCTAAGCCTTTGCACACATGCCGCTCAATATTAATAGAAAATTCTGTTACTTAATGTCTAATAACCTCGTCTCCCTTCTTGCGCGCCCCAACATTGGAGTAGTCATCCTCTGAAATTGCAGTCAAAGTGTAAGATATATGTCCCATTTTATAACAGTTTTAGTACTCACCATCTTGGTCTTCGTCCATGCCATCCTCCAGATGGATACCTTCGGCAAATTCCTTGCCCTGGTCAGCCACGATTTCGTTGTTAAGATTGTCTGAATCGAGTAGATGCTGTGGCTGCTTAACGGCCACATCTCCCACATCGTCGTCATCGTCACCTTCACCACCGCCGCCAGCACCGGCTGCCTCGGCCATCTGCTTGGCCGGCTCATCGGGTACGGGCCCGGGACCAGGAGCCGGCAATTCGCCATCAAAGAAGTTCTGGCCGGCTCCAGCCGCTGCTGGCAAATTAAAGCTGGGCTCGTTTAACGCGTCTTTGACCTCGTGGGCTCCGGAATCCTCGAGAGGTTTGGGTGCCACACCAAGATTCTTGTTGCTCTCCAGATCATTTAAGGCGTTTGCGTAACGATTGTTGTTCTCGTTCTTGGGCAGCTCCTCGGCGGCGGTGTCAACATCGACACCTTCGCCCTTGGTGTCTACCTTGTCCTCAAAGTTTTCGGGGATGGGAGCAACGTTTTCGGGAAGTTTGCGATCCGGTTTGGCTGGCGGTACTGCGAGAGGTGGAAGACCGCTGCTGCTGCTCACCCTTGGAGCCACCGATGCGTCCGGAGCATTGCCGGCTTTCTTGGCGACCGGTCCGCTTACGGAGGCCTGTGTGCTGCTCTTGCGGGGAGCGCTCAGCGGGGAAACAGGACCGCCGGACAGCTGAGGCTCCTCCTGCTGCTGCTTCTCATTGAGCGATTTGGGCACAATCTGAAAGTTTTCAACAGAGTTTAGTATGAGGCTGTGGTTGTTGCGCACGGCGAAGGGCAGGAGAGGCAGCTGCTGTGGCTGCTCCTGGGTTCCGTCACCATTACTCTTAATTGTGGCGTTAGTAGCAGCGGTTGTTTGGTTTTGGTTTGGGTTAGTAGCTAGCAGATTTACCCCGCCGCCGATCCTGTAGAGGCCGTCACTCACTTGCACTTGGGCATCGAAGGACTTCTCGTTGCGCGGCTTTTCAATGCTGTGCGCCAGCTGGGCGGGATTGGAGTGGTGCGTGGTGGGCATCTGCTCGGCGGGCTTGTTCAGCTGCTGCTGGTGGTCATGGGCCGGCGCCTCGGCGGGCTGAACCTTGGGCACATAGTCGCAGTTGGTCTTAAACTCTGCATTGTGGCCTCCAGCGCGTGGATCTTGTGCTCTCCTTCGCGCTGTTGCTTTTCCAGCTTTTCCTGGAGAACAAACAGGTAATCGGGATGTTCTAGAGCAGCCAATAAGAAATATTACCTTCCAGGCAGCCACCTCGTGCTCCTTGCTGGCCTTGTCCTTGTGCAAATCGGCCAGTACCTTTTGCAGCTTCTGGTCGAAGGCGTTCGTGTCCTCGATGTGTTTCTTCTTGCTCTTGAGGCACTCGGCTTCCAGGTCGGAGTACTTGAACTCCAGCAGCTTGTACTTCTCCACCTGGGCGTCGAACTTCTCCTGGAGGGCGCGCTCCGTTTCCTGCTGCTTTTGCACAGCCTCCGCCAGCTGACCTTCGTACTTCTCCTGCAGGCTCATCTTCTCCGTTCGTAGCAGGCTCATCCTCTTCTCGGCAGTCAGTTTCTCGGCATTGAGAGCTGTGGATTCATCCATAATCAGTGTGCTTAATTTAAGGGATAAGGGGATAAAAATAGACTCACATTGCATCTGGACACTGAGGCCCTCTTGGAAGGCGCGGCTCTCGTCCAATTGGTGCTGGGACATTTGGTAGATCACTATCATCATGATGAGCACGATGAACATGGTCATCAAGATGCAGATGCGGACGCGCCCGGAACGCGCAAAACGAGCCGAACTCATTTTGCACTTGTTTTCAGATAGTAAATTGCCAAATTACACCTTTTTGTGCAGGAAGAGAATGTTTCTTTTTTTTTGCTTATGCGGGAGCGTTAGAGATGGACGTTCCTTAGAGATGGGCGGGAAACTAACGATGCAATGTGCTATCGGAATTTGGACCCTTAACTTTTGTTTTGAAAATAGTTGGGTCTAAGATGAGTATTTCAAATTTTGTACTATAACAATAATTCATTTTATTTTAATTTTAGAAGGCACAGCAAAAACCTCTCTAATGGATATAAGACAATGTAATAACAAAATGGTTTTAAATCAATAATAAAGGGCCGTTTAAAAGCTTTTTAAAATCAAAAACTCTACAATGCGGTTGAAAATGCGTGTCTAGTGTATTGCTTCACTAAAATATTAAAGATTCGACGCAAATATTAGTTGGCGGTACAATTGAAATGAAAGTTCAAAAAGTAGGATAACCCAGCTGCTCTTCGGTTTGGCAATGCACATATATCATATGATTTGAGCCGAAGATATATTTCAAAAGGTATCACTCGGCAGTTCACAAAAGACGTAATTTTACGTTTGAACGTAAGCAACCGTAGCAACCGTAAGTACCAGTAAAAGCGAGATAAAATATGTCTGCTCTTGCTCTCCGAAAAGAGAAACGTGAACGAGAGAACAACATCCAAGTTGGCGTGCCATACATCGATGTTACCGATTACCGATGCTTTGAAAACATCGATGACATTTAACATCGATGTTTCTCCACCTCTAGGCGACGCGCGAAGAGAAACCAATAAATAGATTTAATTTAGCTTAATTCCCATAAATAACATAAATAGGTGTTGCTTGCCAAGCAACCGTTAAGTTTAAAGTAACCAAGTCAATTAATCGAGCTTTGCAGGAACCAGTGAAAAGTGAGTTAAATATCGCGGGAACGATGGTTTTTTTTGTGGAGAGGGGTTCCGGGGGCCAGAGGAATTTATTTAAACATTAAGTGGACTGCGAGAGAGACACAAGCGAACGCAACGCATATGTACGTATCGAGAGAGCGCGGCAATCAATTCAATTTAATAAAGGTGCTCGATCCTAGTGTTAAACACGGCAAATTACGTAAAATCCGGCCCAAGTGCTCCCCCACTCCAGTGCTCCCAATAATAATAAGTGCGCCAGCAATAATAATAATCTAGTATCGAAGGGGTGCATCACCTGTCGGAAAGGTAAAGCACGCGGGCCCCAAGAAAAAAACACTCGCCATAAACTGTCGAGCCCCTCGACCCGAATTCTCGTCCATTTTGGGCAATAATCAATAACTGGCCTGCCATTTACCTTTGAGACCGCAATCTAAAACGGTTTAATAATACTTTTTATCATTAAAAGTTTATAGCACTTTATGAGTTATGCGGTGTTTTAACCCAACCATCCACCTACTTTTATTAAAACTGAGACTTTGATATCTTTATGCTTAAAATATTTACCCGAAAAGCGAAGAGATAAAAAGTTTCAGACGTTCTTATCGTCTGCGCATTGGGGATAACCCGTTATTCGGCCTTGCCAGTGGAGCATATCAACAGATATACATACATAGTTAAGCTCCCGAAGTTTGATAGACTTTTCAATTCTCACTTTTCCGTAATTGTGCTAACAAAGCAATTTTAGCACATATTCGCTAGTGCAGCCTAATGGCACCCATTGATATGCTGCTAATCTCCGTGGGGCCTACCGATCATGTCAATAAACTTTGGATCCACTCCCCAGCTTATCACCAACCTATAATAAATACCCCTATATTAAGTACTCCCCACAGAATTATCAGTTGTTTAACATACATAGCTGTAAACAATTATTGTTTAATTGCGATATCAGTGGCGAGAATTCAAAATATTGCTTACAAACCTTACATATTTTGCTGATAAATATCTTGTTAAACATATCTTTTGTAATTTCTTTTATCTTTTAAATTATTTATAAACAAACCGGTTTGCACCAATTCTTCATATGTGCATATATATATCACATTGTATCTTTAATGAGTGTGTGTTGTTCGCAGAATGTCGGGCAGTGAAACCAACAAAACACCGCTGCAGCAGCCACAGCACCAACAATTCGCGTAAGTTATCAATAAACATTTCAATTAGCCTGCGAAATATAACCTCATAGGCAAACAAAAGATATTTGTTTTTAAAGTGCTTTTTTTACGGTCAAATAAAAACAACATCGGTAAATTAAAATTATACAGCTATCTTATTACTAGCAACGAGTAAAAAGCTGATAGTTATACTACTTTAGACAACTTAAAGTATATAATTTATAGTTATCGGATAGATGGGAAGTAAAAAAAGGTTTAAAATATAATCAAAACATATCTAAATCTTTAATTTTTAGTTTTTTAACATAAAAATTGTATCAAAATATCAGTACATATGCACTAAACCACTTATAATAATATACAAATTTATTAAAGAGCTGTCTAAAATATTTTATTTTAGATGGGGATTTGTTTTGAATACCCACTGTATTTGTGTTTATCATCGTTGAAGACTCGTCACTTGAATAGACATTTATACACATTTCATTTTGAAGTGTTTTGCCCTCAGCCAACAGAAAATTTTCCCATTTACCCCACTTTCCCCCATTTCGTTTCAATAAAACTAGGACAAATTCAAAGGCAAAGAAAACCATACTATGACATAATATGATTGCATTTTGCACTGTTTTTGTTTTCGCTATTGTTTTAAAAAAGATGCAAAACCAAAAATAGACCCAAGCTAAGACTAGATATATTCGATCGAACATACTTGTATACACTGTGTGTTTTGTTGGCAGATCACCAAATATTTCTTCCTTATTAATGGCCAACCCATTTGACCTTTCGTCTGCTTTAATTGAAAGCCCAATTGCGGCACCCTAAGAACAGTGATGGTATATGTGGGCCAAGTTGAAAGCCAACTAGACAATTGTTTACATTTTGTTGTTGCCACGAGGAGAATGCAAAGGAAATGCAAAGTTAACGCAGTGCAAATATTTGTCAATTAGCCAAGCATAATGAGATACCGACCAACAAATGCCCTGATATCATTCTTATTGCAGCCTGCTTCCGAAGATCATAAACGGTGGAATTGCTGGAATCATTGGAGTGACATGTGTTTTCCCGCTGGATTTGGTCAAGACGAGGCTGCAGAACCAGCAGATTGGACCCAATGGCGAACGCATGTACAACAGCATGTAAGTACAGCCTAACTTCTATATTTTAAGGTTTAAAAATGTATATTAAAAAAATTATTAAATACCTTATTCAAGATTAAATTTTGCTAAGTTAGTTGATAGAGTCATTATAATTAACAAACAATTTTATAGTAACTATTTTGTATTATATCTCAAATCTAATTGTAACGTAATCCCATTCAAATTCCAGGTTTGATTGCTTCCGCAAAACGTACAAGGCCGAAGGATACTTTGGCATGTACCGCGGCTCTGGCGTTAACATCCTGCTGATCACTCCTGAAAAGGCCATTAAGTTGACCGCCAACGACTACTTCCGCCACAAGCTGACCACGAAGGATGGCAAACTTCCGCTGACCAGCCAGATGGTTGCCGGCGGCCTGGCCGGTGCATTCCAGATAGTCGTTACCACGCCCATGGAGCTGCTCAAGATCCAGATGCAGGACGCGGGCCGAGTAGCGGCGGCGGCCAAATTGGCCGGAAAGACGGTGGAGAAGGTGTCGGCCACCCAGCTGGCCTCGCAGCTCATCAAGGACAAGGGTATCTTTGGGCTGTACAAGGGCATTGGAGCCACGGGATTACGAGATGTCACCTTCTCAGTCATTTACTTCCCCCTATTCGCTACTCTCAATGATCTGGGTCCCAGGCGCAGTGATGGTTCTGGCGAGGCCGTGTTCTGGTAAGATTTCCTTTTTAGGATTCCAATTGAAGATGTGATTACAAGGAATTTTTAATATAACAAATATAAATTCTATAGGTGCTCTTTCCTGGCGGGCTTGGCGGCAGGTTCCACCGCTGCCCTCGCGGTTAATCCATTCGATGTGGTCAAGACGCGTCTGCAGGCGATTAAAAAGGCCGATGGCGAGAAGGAATTCAAGGGCATATCCGACTGCATCACGTGAGTAGCAGTACCATGTGTACTTATCCTCCAGTTAATCACTGCCCTTTTATCTGCAGTAAGACGCTGAAGCACGAGGGACCCACCGCTTTCTTCAAGGGCGGTCTGTGCCGAATGATTGTGATTGCTCCTTTGTTCGGAATCGCTCAGACGGTCTACTATCTGGGCGTGGCCGAGGGTCTGCTGGGAGTTCAGAAAAAGTAGGGGGAATGGTATAGATGTTTGCCAAGGCGGATTGACAAGATCGAAGCATTTTAAGTCTACTCTCTGAATGTTGAATGTGTATGTATATCGTGTTTAAATGTTGTTAAAGCTGTCCATGAATGTAATCAGTGAAGTCTTTAAAGTAAGCTAAAGTTATCAAGCGGTGCGCTAGCCAGTCAAGTACCAAATGCCGTTGTTAAAGTTTTCCTTAGTCCCATTAATCTACTCAACATTAAACAATATGAATTTAGACCATGGCAGAAGACAACTGATGCTCCCAATGACAATAAGATATAACAACATCAACGCTAATATTATGTAAATGGTTTGATTTATATCATAGTCTATAACTGTTGTGTTTGGACACTCTCTCTAATTAATATTGTTTCCTGAGAAACCGCCGCTAGCCATGAATAATTGCCTCAAATTGTATTAGTAATGCATTTTCCTTTGCTGCTAGGCGAAAGTTTAGCTTTTAGTAGCATCCAAAAACATGACTAGAGCAATTGTATGCTTTATGAAAACCGTCAGAAATGAACAAACGAAATATATACTATATAACATGAAAACAAAAATTTTGTGGGTATATATTTGGTTTTATATTGGTTAAGGCGGTAATAATGGATAACGTAGAACAAAAAAAGCCAGCCCAGTTCAAGTAAGCGCCTTGCAAACTACTAATACCATAGCTATACTTACTTCCGGACCTATCGCAGTGTTTTACCCAAAATCATAAACGGCGGTATTGCCGGAATTATTGGAGTGACATGCGTTTACCCACTGGATATGGTGAAGACGCGATTGCAAAACCAGACAATCGGTCCCAATGGCGAGCGCATGTACACCAGCATGTGAGTGAGGTGGTTTTTGGAAGGTAGTGTGGTATCGTCAGCCAGGTGGTTTATTTTCCTTCCTCAGCGCCGACTGTTTCCGGAAGACGATCGCCAGCGAGGGATTTTTTGGCATGTATAAGGGTTCCGCCGTGAACATCCTTCTCATCACACCCGAAAAGGCTATTAAATTGGCGGCCAATGATTACTTCCGCTATCAGCTGGCCACCGAGGAGGGCAAACTTCCATTGCCACGGGCAGCTTTGGCTGGCGGCCTGGCCGGACTGTTCCAGATTGTGGTCACCACTCCCATGGAGCTGCTGAAGATTCAAATGCAGGACGCCGGGCGCGTGGCCTCTGCCGCCCGAGCAGAAGGACGCGAGGTAAAACAATTTACAGCCATGGATCTGACCAAGAAGCTCCTGCGGGAGCGGGGCATCATGGGGCTGTACAAGGGAGTTGGAGCGACCGGGGTACGGGACATCACCTTCTCGATGATATACTTCCCGCTGATGGCGATTGTAAACGACAAAGGCCCACGAAAGTCTGACGGTTCGGGCGAAGCAGTTTTCTACTGGTCCCTCATGGCCGGACTTGTTGGCGGGATGACGGCCGCCTTCCTGGTCACACCGCTGGATGTGATCAAGACCCGGCTGCAGGCCGATAGCGAGAAGGAGTTCCATGGCATCGTGGACTGCGTCCAAAAGACCCTTAAGCGCGAGGGTGTTACGGCATTCTTTAAGGGCGGTCTCTGTCGGATAATGGTAGTGGCACCTCTATTCGGTATCGCGCAAATGTTTTACTTTTTGGGCGTGGGCGAGAAGATTTTGGGCATAGAGCAAAGGAAATCAGTCTAAAAACATAAAATACCCTTCCTAAAGTTTTCGATTTTATCCGAGTCAATTAATTTTCTTTAAATTGCCGGATTTTTCAATATAATGGATAAAAATGTTCACTTAAATTGACTGTTTAGGAACTAAAAAATAATCAATTTGATCGTTATTGATCGGTTCACAATAAAAAAACAATGAACTATGATATGTAACTGCATTTTAGGCTTTTAAACAATGTAAATGAATTTAATACCGGATCAATTAACATTTCGTGTGTATTTGCTTAATGGTGCTACATGTTGAACTTTTACAATCGATAAGTAGTTTTCAAGAATCAGCCTAGGGTTGACTTGCAGCCCATCTCTCTTATCACAATCCACCTTGTCAGGACTCTTCACTCCAGAAATCCCTCAGTTTCCTTAGATTACATCCGCGGGACGGCTGTTTGGAACATCTTCGTTCACCGAATTCAAGTTTACGCCGAGAAAAAAGGGCTTCCGGTAGAGAATGCTGCCCATCTGCACGATGAGGAAGCCCATGATCGTGACCCAACTTAAGAACTCCCAGTCCATGTTGATCACGAACACCCAGATAAAGTACACGCGTAGACCGTCGGCCAATATGCGCGTGGTGCTGGACGAGTTCATCGCAATTAATAGGCCAATAAAGTTGTACAGGGCACACGAGATGGTAAAGGCAATCAGAGCCATAATCAAAGAGGGATTCTCCTTCAGACCCTTAAGCAGATCACTCCAATCGTCGAAGACAGCACGCGAGCTCTCGGTAAAGGGACTCACGGTTGGCAAGTAGTGCATGCAAATGGCCAAAATCGAGGTGATGGCTAACCCAAAAATTCCCTGCCAGCCGGCAGCTTGCAAGGGTGCCACATTCGAGGTCTTGAGCTGCTTCTCCTCGTAGACATACTGCAGACCGTGCAAAATTTCGGCAATGATGATGAGCAAGTCGCCGGTCAAGATGGCTTTGCGGTCCGTGTACGGCAAAGTGACCGGGTCGTAGCTAACGCGCTGAACGTCTTGACCGACGATGCTCAACAGGCCGCAGGAAATGATGAAGAAGGCCAGCCAGTGGCGTCCGGTAAGCGAGTGGTTCAAAAACATGGTACTGAAGACGCCCGCGAAAATCAGAGCCGCGCCTGCAGAGTAGATGAGTCAACATTAGTCAAGATAAGCAAAGCCGGAGACTGATAGACGCACCCCTTATCATCTGGAAGCTGGAGGCGTAAGTCAAGTAAAGTCCGGTGAACAGCAGAATGGAGGCTACCGTATCCAGCACCGTGGGCAGGATCATGCTCAAAGGGCTGAACTCACCGCTGTCCTGAGTCAGGATGCTGTCCAGATCGGCGATGGCCTGCGGATTGCATGGTGTTTATTAGATATGGTAAATAATTTCTTAAGTGATTACATGTGTAATGCGAGCATATTTTAAATAATAATAATATAATTGGCAATTGATTAGGCTCAGAATGGAACATTAATTTTTAATCCTTCTTGAATGATGTCTTTCTAACTAGAATCACAACTATTTTAGAGAATAGATTATGAATATGAAATGGGTTAATATAATCGGAGTTTTTCATTAAAAAATTATGTCGTATGAAACAACTTGATCCGATAACTACTACTACTACTTATTTTGACATGTATTTTAATTTGGATACAAAACCTATAACATTTAACTAATCCAAATCATGTTCTTTGGTACTATTTCATCACCATAAACTTATTGATATAGATATTCTAAACTATAAATCCCATTCATGCACCGAGCAAACTCAACAAACACCGACTTCATAGCCGGCTTCAGGACTTACTCCCCGACGATTAGAGATCAGGCGGATCAGCTTGAAGACCGCGAAACAAAGGAACTCGCCGAGGAACATGAGCAGGGTGAAGACCACCGGATGCTGGAATCCGTGCAGTTTTCCATCGCTGCCAATCAGCTGCTGTTGATTTGCCCACCTGCAATACACACACAAAATCGGGTGCATATACATATGTATGTTTAGATGGTTTTTGGGGCTCTTATTAAATGTTTTTCGGTACTCACTTCACTATCAGAACGTTGAAAGTGCCGATGAGCGCAAAGATCAGCGACAGGTAATGACGAAGATCCATTCTGCGGCGGAAAATTCCCTTCTTGGGTGCAGTTCTCGCTAATTCGATTTACAAATATTGACGTTCTTTGTGCAATTCGTGCAATTCGCAATTGTGACTGCGCAGTAACAAGTGCAACAAAGTGCGGCCAGGTTGGTAATTGACTGCCCTTCCACAGCTCTATGTAACTTGCTCCAAGTGTTGTAGCCTTAACTATTCAATTATCTTTCAATTTTGAGATGAGTAATGAATATTAGTTCGTTTTTACGGTACTTTTGTTTATTTTTTTATTATAAAGAGTGTGGCCGCCTATTGTACCAAAATTTACGAGATAAACATACTATAACTGCGGATTACAGTCAAACATTGAGATGGTCATACCTTAAAGCAACTGGTTTGCTTTGAAAAAACGCGGGTATTTTGAAAAAAACTACTGTTCTAAAATCCGTAAAGTGGAATAAAAACACTCAGACAGTATTTATTCAAAGTTTTTATTAAACGCAAACTTAAAAAATATCACAGGATATGAAAAACCATTTAAATGAAAATACATGAAGTGGTGTTAGTGCATCTATCGCCCAATTGGCATCAATTTTTCTGCGTTGACGGTTGCGTTGCATTTTGTGCTATTTTCCTGTAAAAATATGAACAACATTATTTAGAAAAAAGACGTAAATGCTATTTTCAACAAACATTAGCAAACACAAATGGCAACAAAAAGCCTGTCCTGTCGTCTCACCTGTACTCAGAAGTGTTTTTCAAGTGTTGTGATCATGTTTTTGAGTATCTTGTTTCCCATTTTGTTTTCGTGTCGTGCAGTGTAGGTGTTCCTAGAGCTCGTCTCGGGATTGGGAGGACGAGGGCAGAGTCACCTCCTCGACGGAGCCTAGGTGTATGGTTCTATTTGGCCGGCTGAACTTTGGTATGTATGCGACCGAGTCGCTGTTGCTAACCACCGAGTTGTGTAGATGTTCCGTGGGTGCCGCAGGATCGGGACTTGTGAGTGTGATTTTGGAGCCAGTGGCCACTCTGTGGAATGTATGGTTTTGTGGGCATGTGAGAGGCTGCGGTCAAAATAATAGAGCTGAAAAATTCGCGCGGGAATTCCCAATAACACTGATTTAAAAGACACCCTATAGAGAGTGATACGAGTGGATCAACTATGAGATCTGCTACTAAAAGTCTTCCATAATTAAATATTTAAAAAAATAAGTTGAAATTGGGTTCTTGACATTTTCAGTTTAACTTTTGTTTTTGAAAAAATATTATTACCCTACAGAAAAGTTAGGACTTTTCCTATTGGCTACTGTTTTGACCACACCTTAATGTTGTGTCCCCCAAAATTTATATTTTAAGGTTAGTATTGCGCTACTTGGCTGGTATTAGTTTGGGGGCATAAGAAAATGACTTCGTCTCTCTTGTACCTTATGTACAGCTTTTGGAGGTGGTCGTAGTCGAAGTGAAAAATTCTGAGAGTGGTTGAAGGGTTCTATTGGCGCTGGCGGGTTCCACCGCGTGCTCCGCGCAATTTTTGTGGGTTTCTATTGCAGATCAGAGATCGTAATCAGAGATTCGGACTCGGATCCGCCACCTTACCTGTCCCTGGCCTGCATGCTGGCCTCCACGTCCAGGCTGCGGGGCTGTCGGAAATCGCACTCCAGCGAGAAGGCCGAGTCTCCGGGCGTGATCAACTCCGGGTCGTTCTGGATCACCACGATGTTCGTGTACAGGTCTCCATCCCGTAGTGTTTGGCATTGATCCAGCTGGAAGTTCATCTCCATGGTGCGGGAACCCTGGTTCGAAGAGGGCTTCATGAAGCACGGTGCCGTCTGCTTGTAGAAGCTGCCACGCGTGTACATCACACCCGTGAAGGGCTTTTCCGTCTCCAGCACCACGTTCATCGAGTCCGCTCCGCACTTAAGGTTCACCTTTTGGATGCCCTGGTCGCTGCCCTCGATTTTAAAGGTGTCCGAAAGGTCTTGTTCCCAGATTTCTGCAATGGGGCGAGACATTTTCATGGGTGACATTTTAGGTTTTTGATGTAACAATTTCCAAGAACTTCGATTTTAAGAATAAACCAATTTAGCTGTCTCCTTAGTTTGAATTGATAATTAGGTAAAATGCTTTTTTCTTTTTTTGCTTTAGATTTGTATTTATTCGAAGAAAAATGTGAAATGTGTAAAAGTAAGTTATGTTAATCTTCTTTATTTAACCACTTTATAACTTTTGATGGATAGGGTGCCTTGTCGTTACTTAACTAAAATTTGGTTTTTTTAGTTATATCACAAATAAACATAAATTCACTTACATTTCTTATAGTTTTTAAAACTTTCTTCTAATTTTAGGAACCATTCCTCTCAATTTCTTTTGTAACGCGCTTGTAACTGCTTTAGGCTTTCTTTATAGAGATAACCGTTGCTTCTACCTGAGCCTAACGTTTCTAGACATTTTACCCAACGAACCGTTGAAGTTCACTCATCTTTCAGATAGCCGGCACTATCAAGTTCCGCTAACCGGTTTTTGTTTATTTTGGTCTGGCTAGAACAACCCGAAGTAAAAGAACACGGCTTTGAGAATTTCTCCACCCAACCTGGATGAATCAGTCACAGTCCTCTTTTGTTAACCCGAGTCGACCATCTTACCTTGATTTTGGTGTTTTTGTTGCTTATTGGCCGACACGTAGAGGACCAACAACAAGTTGCAGGCGAACAAAAGCAGAATGCCATTCAGTAATCCCGACATATTATTGCACTTCAGTATTATCCAACACAAAACATGTAGATTTTCGCGGAGCTATCTGAGTCTCGGAGATGTCTTTGCAGCTGCAAGCCAAGATTTAAACTGACGAAGCGGTTGCGCATGCGCGGCGCATATAAGCGCGTCTCGAAAGCTCGGCTTACAGCAACTGAGACGAAAAAAAACGAAAAAAGAGGTTACTTAAGAGAGAAAGAGGCGTTTTGAACGGAGAGCCAGTGAGAATTTGGTCAATAGCTGAGCATAAAAATATTTAATTGTACTGCGCTTTTGATAAGGCGAAAATTTATTGGCATCGCCGAGTGGAAAAGCCACATAAATCCATAAGAAAAGACAGGTTTCGGGAAATTAGACTACTTAATACCCATTAAAATAGCTTAGCCCTACAAAACTTGTATATGTAATATCAATATGTTATTTGTAAGATGGGAATTTTATAAGGTTTTGGTTATTGTAATATTTTAACTTTATGAGCTATGCACCAATTTATTAGAGTTTATGTCTTTATTTTAAATTCTCTCTTATAAAGAATGTGAATAAATACAAAATACCTTCTGCTAGGGTATCAATATTTATATAAAGCGGCAGTTTAAGGAAAACAAAATGCGGCATCGGTCCAAAGACATTTCCGCTTTTCGCGTGTGGCATGTGGATTTCTGCTGTGTTGCATTCGTTTCGCATTTTTAGCGCTGCATTTAACCAACCGATTTTGTTTTTCGTTGCCGTTCATTATTCAAAATGTTATTAAACTTCCCCGTTTTTTGCGACTGATTACGGCTCAATTCGGTTTCAGTTCTCCTTCATGCAACCAATTTAATAACTTCAGCTGTGGCTTTTGTTAGTTTTCCAACCTGCCTTTTGTTGTTACTTGCATCTTTTGTTTTTCGTTTATTGCGTTAATTAAAGTGTAATTAGTTAACGATTCGGTCTGGCCATGCCAGCGAAAGGTGGAAGTGGTCGTGTTCAATATTGACCAGAAAATGCATTTACTTCGAGATGTTCGTGGAAGCTCAGCTAAACATGATTAAGTTGTTATGCCTCCTTGTGAACGCGATATTCGAAGATGGCTCTAAAAGATTGTGAAAAATGATTATTGCATTATTTCAGTTAAATACTAATTATTTTAATTAATTTTTATTTATTTTATTTTAAAATTATATGGTAAATTTGTAGGTTTGTATGCCCTGATAAACAGTTTAAATCCCTATTTGGGGTGTCAATGTAATGCAAATATAATATTTTTCATTATCATGATCCGGTTACTTGACAAGTAAGTATTTTATATTTGATAAAGATACTATGAAATCTGGGTTGTAACTTACCTTCCCCATATTTTATGTCATTTATTAGTGATTTTTGTTTGAAGTGCTCTTCACTTATCACTTATCAGTTATTACTTATTGTTATTTGCTATCTGCAACAATTATCATCACCTGATTAAAAGCTTATCAAGTTCCAGTTGCAAAATAAATTGATTTTTGCCTTTTTAAACCATATCAAGTTCATTTCTAGGACACTATATAAGGTCATCAATGAAGAAGAAAAACATAAATAATTTAGTTTGAAAATCTTTATTTATCTCGTTCTTTTATTTGGTAATCCTTTTATATTACTTCTTCTTCAAGGCAGCCCAATATACCTTCAGTTCGTTGCCCTCCCAATCAAATGGTTTGGTCAAAACACTGAAAATAGAAAAAAGACAATCAATTTACATAATACCTTAATAGAGAGGATCGTGAAATTAGCCAGTACATAAAGTTGGGGAAAAAGGAGGAAAATCGACTTGGAGCACGAATAAGTTGAGAGACCAACAAGTTGAACCTCGAATCAGGGGGAAACCGAGGAGATTCCGGTCGGTGGGAAGTGGTCAGTAATCGATGGGGTGTGGGGACGGCGAAGAGGTTGTCTGGCGCCTACTGCACCGATGGCCAAGATTGACAATGATCATGCACACATATATGTATGGACAACTAACCGAGGAGTGGACCCCCAACCGCAGGAAAGTGGAAATGATGTAATGGTAACATTGTATCCGAGTTGCACAATTTTCGTTGTGCCGCTTTTGGCCAACTTCCGAGTCGTACACTCACTTTTCTTTCAGATACTGCAGCACTTCCTGCTCCTTATCGCTGAGGCCCTGTTCGAATGCCTCCAGGTTGATCCGCAGCAGCTGGCGAGTCTGCATGCCCGTGAGGAAGGTGCTCACCTCGGGCAGTCCCTTCATCGTGTAGTACATGGCCAGTTTGCCCATTCCACCCCGCGTTCCTTGCATATCTCCGACGCCTTCCGGGCAATGGCCTTCTGATCAGCGCTGGCCGGATGCCAGGGCTGGGGTCCACCATTGGTCAGCAGACCAAGGGCGTGGGCCGCTGCACAGATGACTCCCAAGTTCTGAGATTTAAGAACTCCAGGTACTCCAGGAGCGTTTCATCGGTTAGGGTATATCTGGCATAGGTAAGAACCGTCTGGAAGGGTAATCGAAATGTTAATGTTAAATTTTTTTAACTTAAAATAAAGTAAATGATGCGGGAAAGATGTATTACTTACGTCGAATCTTCCTGCCGCTCGAGTGAGGCACTCCTTGAGCACCGAAATCGGATAGGCAGACACTCCAATAAATTTGGCCTTGCCCTCCTTGACCAGCTGCTCCAGAGTTGGCAATGTCTCGTTAATGACAATGTCCAGATCCTTGGCAAATTCAATGTCATGAATCTGAATAACATCCACATAGTCCAGACCCAGCAGCTTTAGACTTTTCTCCACACTTTCGCGAGTTTTTTTGCGGTAAAGTCGAACATATTCTCGTAGTCGAGATCATAGCGAGCCACTTTGGTGGCGATGTAGTACGATTCCCGAGGTATGCTCTTCAGAGCCAAACCGAGGACCTCCTCAGAGCGACCCTGACCGTACCAGGGGGCGGTGTCAATGTAATTGATGCCCGACTTCAGCGCTTCATGCACTGTCTGGATTCCCTCCTCCAGATCAAAGCTTAAGGGAGATATGAAATATAATATTATGATTTTATAGAAAAGAAAAATAAAACTAGAGTTCTCTTATCATATTTCTCTTACCCGTAATTGGCGCACAGGGCACCGCCGCCGAAAGAGACTTTCGAGACCTCTAGGCCGGTCTTTCCGAGTTTGCGATATTCCATACGGCGCACCTTCGCCTCATCGTGGAAACCCTTCACATAGGTGGCCGGTAATGTTCCAGACATTTTGGATTATCCCAATATATTTTTGCACTCTGTTGAAATTCGATTGCTAGTCGGAGCAATACTAACTACAGATTGTCATATTTTTAGCTTATATTCTGAAAATCATACTGTGCACTTTATCAAAGAGAGGGAGAGAGAGAGAAAAGTACGAATTTAGGAGTGGTGTCAAAGTATAAGTAGTCTGAATAAAGAATAAAGAGTGGATAAGCAAGTTCTACAGTTTTCTCTTCTTGGCATAAGATCATAATAACTTTTTAAAGAGGGTATCAGGGGAAGAGAGGTTGTAAAGAATTCTACATTTCTACACTCAGTTATCCGCTTTCGTGGCTTTCTTCTCTCACTCTCTCGACGCTTCTCTCATCAAAAACAAACCCCTATTTATCAATTTGAGGTTTTGTGTAAACAAACGCTAGAATACTTCGAATAAAGAAATATGAGCAAGCACTTGTCTATATTATGTTTTGCATGTATAATGCATTCAATTACTTTTACCAGGTATAGACAAATGAACCTGCCCTGAGCTTATCTTGGAATTGTTTGTTGGGTCTTTTATATTAATTATTTATAGGCTGCTTATGTGCTTTATAAAGTATTGGAGATTACAGAATTAACAATTTAAACGTATACATAGGTAATTCAAAGGTGCACTGATCTTGAGATGTTTTCAAATAAACTGGACCCAGCTAAGACCCATAGAAACTCAGTAGCCGAATAATTAAATTTAACAAATCTTTATTTTATAACATTTTATATTAAGATCCATTTTAAATCCGTTTTTTCTGTATTTCCCAATGATTTCCCTGGTGTTCAGAGCTCAAGTTCGAGTGCCTATTTTGAGTGTCCACTCACTTGAACATGTTAACCGTGGATAAAGTGGAGCCCCAGCTGTAGGACTTGGTGAAAACGCTGAAACAAAGATCGAAAAAGAAATACATGTATTTTGGCGATTGGAATGGAGATTGGACTTGAACACTCTGGACTGGATCGGGTGGCTATTAACCAGTTTGGTCAGGCTGATGGCCAAGTTCGTGCCCGTGATGCAATTGCTAACACCAAATTCGACTTGCACAGTTCCCTGTTCGGGTAACCAGTTGTTGGCCAACTTACTTTTCGCGCAGGTACTGCAGCACTTCCTGTTCATGGGGAGTGAGTCCATCGAAGACGGCATCCAAGTTAATCCGCAGCAGCTCTCGGTTGGGGATGCCGATGAGGAAGGTGGCCGCGCCATCCAGTTGCATGGTATAGTACATGGCCAGTTTTCCCAGCTCCACATTTCGCTGCTTGCAGATTTCGGCTCCCCTCTTGCCCACAGCCAAGAGTTCAGGACTGCCAGGATGCCAGGATTGGGGTCCGGCATTGCTGAGGAGTCCCAGAGAGTGGGCGGCGGCACAGACGATGCCCACGCCCAGTTCCTTGAAGGCCTTCATGTTTCGCAACAGGGTGTTATCCAATAGGGTGTAGCGGGCATAGTTGAGCACCACCTGGATGCGACCCTTTCCCCGCTCGGCGCACTCCTTCAGCACGTCCACGTCGTAGGCGGTGATCCCGATAAAGCGGGCCTTTCCGCCTGCACATACTCCTCCAGGACGGGAATGGTTTCGTTTAGGACTATGTCCAGACTAGGTGCGGCATCCACATCGTGAACCTATCAATGGATTCATTTTGTTTGATAGTTTATAATCCAAGGAGCAAAACCCACCTGCAGAATGTCCACCATGTCCAATCCGAGCAACTTCAGGCTCTTCTTCACACTCTCCCGTGTTTTGGCAGCCGTATAGTCGAACATCTTCTCCGGATCCAATTCATAACGCGCCACTTTGGTGGCTATATAGTAGGCCTCCCTGGGCACATCCCGCAGCGCCTGGCCAAGCAGCTCCTCCGACTTGCCTTGGCCATAGAAGGGCGCTGTGTCTATATAGTTGATCCCGGATCTGATGGCCTCCTGCACAGTGCGGATGCCCTCCTCTCGATCGAAGTCGTCAGAGAAGAGCTTGGAGAGAGTGGCGCCACCGAGTGCAATTTTGGATACTCGCAGCCCCGTAGAGCCCAGTTTTCGGTACTCCATTCGTCGCACCAGCTCCTCATTATGGAAACCCTTGACAAATGTGGCTGGCAATGATCCCGACATCTTCTACTTTTCACTTGGCAAGTTCAAATAGTCGAAATGCCAAGCAATGATGCGCTTTTATATGCTCTAAGCTCTAGGTTTTTACTCATAGATAAGAAAGAACTGTGGGGGTATTAAAGTGTTTTAATATGTATGAGTAGGGTTCTTAAATAGATTCGTTTCTCTTAGCAAGCTTCTCTTACTGATAAGCCACAAAAGAGATTTCTCACTCTTTACTAGAGCCCGCTACTCGTACATTCATTATTTATGAAAAATGCGAATATTGGTCAAAAAATTATTTTACCGTAAAGTGATGGGGATAGTTACCATAAGTTGTTAGCTGCTCAAAACAGTCGGCCTTTTAGCTGTACGCCTTGATTTGGATAAACTACGACTGAAAAACTGCAAAAGAAAAGCGTATTTTTGACTGAAATTCAAAACCTATTTTTCGCCAATAAATCAGTTTTTGGGTGTCATATTGCAAAAAAAGGTCAGAATAAGGAATGTCATACCTCGCTGAGCTCGTAATTTTAATTTCTATCCATTGGCATTCAAACCTAAAAATTTTTTATTTTTGTCATTTCTTGCAAAAAATTATGATACAACCATCAAAAAAATTCAAAAATTGATCAAAAAATAAATTTTTGAAAAAGTGATGGAATAGTTAGCATAGGTTGTTAGCTGCTCAAAACAGTCGGTCTTTTAGCTGTACGCCTTGATTTGGCTAAACTACGACTGAAAAACTGCAAAAGAAATGCGTATTTTTGACTGAAATTCAAAACTTATTTTTGCCAAAAAAAATCAGTTTTTTGGCTGTCATATTGCAAAAAAAGGTCAGAATAAGGAATGTCATACCTCGCTGAGCTCGTAATTTAAATTCCTATCCATTGGCATTCAAACCTAAACATTTTTATTTTTGTCATTTTTCGCAAAAAATTATGATACAACCTTAAAAAAATTCGAAAATTGATCAAAAATACATTTTTGAAAAAGTGATGGAATAGTTAGCATAGGTGGTTAGCTGCTCAAAACAGTCGGTCTTTTAGCTGTACGCCTTGATTTGGCTAAGCTACGACTGAAAAACTGCAAAAGAAAAGCGCATTTTTCACAAAATCCTAATCCTTATTTTCCGTATAAATTTTAAAGCAGCTAATTTTTAAAACTAATTTTTTTATTTATCAGAGAAGATTCTGAGCTGGATGTGGCTTCCAATCAATTGACAAATCGTTAAGAGTAAATATAAATATGTGCTTTATAATCATATGCATGAGATAGGTAGGAGCACCGCTCAGAAGAAGTCGTCGAAGTCCCCTGGGGCTGATAGCCAGCTCCGGGTGGGAGCAGCTGGGGTCGCTGCTGCTGGCGCGGTGGGCGGGGCACGATAATGTCGTTGACCTCGTGGAGAATGCCATTGGTGGCCACAACATCGCACTTGGTGACGCCGGCGTTCTCGATCTTGGGACGGCGATCGCGGGTGATGCGCAGATGCTGGCCGGAGATGGACTCGATGGAGCGGACAAATGGCCAGTTGGTTGGGATAATGCCGGCACAGCAGACGACATCCTCAACAATGTGGGTCTTGACCAGGGCCACGGGGTCGCTGGGCTTGGCTGCACCCTCACCGGACTCGCTCAGCTCCTCGAAGACATCGTTCTTGGGCACCAGCAGGGTGAGACTTCTCGAGTTGTTGGACAGCAGCTGGGTGAGATTGGCCTTGCGCACCAGTTCCAGAACTTGCTGTAGTTGGGATTGGCCTCCACAGCTTGAGCATGTTCTGGGGGATTATAATAATTATTAAAGGATGCTCTTTATTGGAACTCTAAAAAACTTACATTCTTGGGGGCGCCAGGGCACGATCCACCTGGTGGAGGACGGAACCGCAGCTCTCGTCGTCGAAGTGCACCAAACGGGCACAGTTGACTGTGGCCCGGTTCATCACATCCGAGAAGAGGGCATGGGTGGAGTAAAGGTTTAGACGCACACTGGATCCCGCCACAGTGGGCAACGATTTCTCGGACAGATCACAAGTCTTGATCATGGGCTTGACCACATGGTAGTTGAGGAATCCAGCAGATCCAGATTATGATCCAAGAGTTCCGGCTGTTCCTTAGCATGCGAGCCCACTCCGTATTCTGGAGAGCCTGTCGGTGGGTGCGAAGATGGTCACATTGTCCAGATCATCGAACTGGTCATCATAGCCAGAGGCCTCCAGCAAACGCTGGAAAATGGTCAGGTTCTTCTGAGACATCAGCGAGGTCATGGGCAGAGCCGACTCGGTGGGCAGGATGGTGTCATCACATGGAGGACACCATTGGTGCCCATGATATCGGCTTCGATGATCTTGGCCAGATTATTGATGTAGATCGGAGCAGGTCCAGTCTGGTTGGCAGCCAGGTGAGTGCGGTTGAGGAGCAGGGGTTCTCCCAGCAGATTGTAGGCCGTTGTCTTTGCACCGGGAACTGTGGCCAGCGAGCAGAAGGTGAGGTCCAGCAAGTGGTTCTTCAGGATGTCTATGGGTTTTATAGGGAATAATTGTTTTAAAAAGTATGATTTGAATTCCTGGACCAACTCACTTGAGGCACAGCCACGACCCTCCTTGAGGGCACGACGCAGATGCGGTTCCACTTGTCGAAGGCGCATCGGTGGGCACAAAGATGGTCACCGGCTTGTCATCCTCCAGCATGGCACTCAGGTTGGTCTTCTCCAGGACGGTGCGCATAATGGACATATCCGCCCGTTCCCTGATGATGTCCATGATGTTCTTGGTCAGCGGCTTCAGAACTCCACCCAGGGTGTGGACGAGGGCCTGCTCCGAGAGCTTGTCGTGCTTCTCGATGGGCACACAGTTGGCGGCAAAGCGGTAGGGTTCCAGGTTCAAGGCCGCTGGCAGCTGGTACTGTTGATCCGAATCTTCTGGTCGGGCAGTCCGTCTGCAGAAGCTTTCGTTGGCACATCCTCCAGCTGGACCTCGCCGAGAACGGCGTGCAGTTTGTAGATGGAAGGTTTGGAGTTGGAAGCTTCGGACTTTGCGTCTTCAACATTCTGTTGGTTTTAGGAACAAAATAGTTTTTAGAAAAAAATTTCCCTAAAAAAGATTTATGGACTTTGTCAAACGTTAGCTTTTATACTATTTTCATGTCTCGATAACTATTGGATTAAATTTTTTTCGAAAATATAGTTTCTTAATAACAAGTTAGGTTTATCTGACAGAACACTCTTAACTAATAAGTTTATTAAAGTTAAAAAACCATCTGCAAACAACTTAACTTTGAGTCAATTTTATCTGAAGACAACAAACTATAACCTTAACATGACATTAAGAAAGACCCTTAGAGATTTTAGAAACTTAAGTCCTCAGAATACCTATAACTACTCACATTTTCCTGCTGGTGGTGACCGCGATACTCCAGAAGGCGGCGTCGTTGGGCACGAAGAGGGTCACCTTCTTGCCACTGCTGCCACCGAGCATCTCGGCCAGCTCTCCGGCACTGCGGGCGCTCTCGAGGAACTGCTTGGCTCCCATGTCGCTGGCCGTGGCCTCCACGTCCTTGATGTCGATCTTCTCGCAGGGCGTGTGAAATCGGCGTTCTGGGACGTCCGTATCCATAGCAGCACTGGCGGGTCAGCGTCAGCGTCTTCTTTTGCCGTTTTGGTTTACACTGAATGGGGGAAAAAATATTCCATCAATTGGTAATATTAGGTAATAATCCCCCGGTAATCCTCTTACATCTTTGTGCAGACGTGCTTGTTGGGCTTCTCCGCGCAGGAGTTAACGCTGAACTGGAATTGACCGAAGAGTGGGGATCGCACCACGTTGGTAATACCATCACGTTCCTGGCCAAAGGTGTCCACGGTTTCTTCAGCCTCCGTCTCGTTGGTCTCGTCTTCCTCCTTTTCGGTGCACACATTGGGGCTGGATAAGCGGAAAATTAACTGTTGGTTAATATCTGTGGTAATCGTTGGGGAAGTGGGTATGGGATGACAGGCTCAAGGCTTTTAATTAAACTATAATTGTTACATTGATTCTAGGTCTCTCAGAATGATTCATATACTTATTTTCTTTTCTATAAAGAATTGATAAGTAAATGTTAAATTCACATTAAATTACGAATATTCTCTTGTTAATTTTTCTAGAAATTCTTTTCTATCTTTCGCTAATGAGTTGGTCATATATCAGACGTGCAAATCAAAAAGTCAATGTACCTACTGTATGCCTATAATTCTGGCCAACCCCTTATACTCATATGCCCATATCTCCGAAACCAATCAAACTAAGTTGGTTCATCAGCACTCGCTAACCGAATGTTTGCCAAATGGATTTGCACAATGATCCGTCATAGAGAGCATAGTTATACTATATAAACCTATTTCTATATAAAAGCGTTCGTGTGTTGGCCTAACAGCTTTGCCAGTCCATCAATTCAATTATGGCAACGTGGAGACTCTTCATATTTTGTTTTTGAATGCGAACTCATTGTGTGCGTAACTTTTAGAAATTTCCCACTGAACCATAGATGTACGTAGTATGTATATATATATAGGTTTTATGCAGCTAATTTTTCAATTTGCCACATCTCTGACTTTCATTTCACTATGCCCACTGCAACGAGTTCATTGCTCACTGAAAAAACCGACGACGAGTTGATTTCACAATTTAGAAAAGTGCAAGCTCGGCTGTACAAACAATGTATTCGTGCACTTATCCAATATAGTAGCACTATATATTCATTCACATTCCTTATATACAGTGTCCAACTGGTGGGACAATTAATCAAGGCAACCATCGGGCCCTAGTAATATTAAGCAGCCTCACAGCTGGCAGTAATCTGGATGGAAAATTATTTAACTAGGTATTTATTATTTAATTGATATGCTCGATTGCCTCTACAATAAGCGATAAGCCGGCCAACTTTACACAATTAGAGAATACTACTGAATACTATTGAAGACATAATACATTATACAATCTAGTATTTAATAGGTCGAATGAACTTGACATTGTGCTCTCTTAATTGCCAAATGCCAAGAACGGCCAAGTCAGAAGCAGAATCACTCGAGT